TTGTGTCTGCCAGACCCCTTTGTTCTAGAAGTTTTGCATCTTGAAAAAAAAGCAAAAAAAAAGCAAAAAAAAAGCAATCACAAAATGCAACCAGAAAAACAAAAGCAATCACAAAAGCAAAAAAAGAGCAACCCCAAAATGCAACCAGAAAAACAAAAGCAAAAAAAAAGCAAAGAAAAAAGCAACCCCAAAATGCAACCAGAAAACAAAAGCAATCATAAAAGCAAAAAACAAAGAAAAAAGCAACCCCAAAATGCAAACAGAAAAACAAAAGCAATCATAAAAGCACAAACAAATGCACTTGCGAGCAAAAATGGACAACAACACAGCATGTTTGCAACAAGCAGGAGAATAATACCCGTACCCTTGCAACAATCTGGGTGCCAACCAGTTGACAAAAGGGAATTACCTACAAAGCAAGCCAAGAAGGAAAAACACCAAGAATAACCGTAACCTAATTGACCAATCTACTAGGTGGTGACTGCGGTAGGATCTGCTAGCAATAAACTTGCATTGCTGAGTGTGGTTTTTGTGCTTTGAGGCACTGACTGTTGCACACCGGCTTGTCTCAAGCGGGGTGGGGCGCCAAATTGAGGGACCCGGAAAGCCCGAGAGAAACTAGAGTAATGAGTAATGTTCTGATCTGCAATGTTACTGTCCCTAAACCCTAGCTGCCCTAGCTTTAAGGCTCCAATTTTCCGGAAAACTGAGCAGAGTGTTGTTCAGCAATTGTCGACTTGTACTGAACTGCCCTTGTCCGCGTCAGCCATGACAGATGTCCAGTCAGAGGCGGAACCTCTGGTTGAGAAGGTGATGCCGGGATGGATGGAAGAAATCGAAGAAACGCTAGTACTCAGTCAACAGGAGAGTGAAGAATCCGCGCTGGCGGATGCTTGCCGCATATCTTCAGATGAAGAAAGCATAGATGAAGAGTCTGCTGCGATGACTGTCCCATGTTCACCTCAGACCTCTGACGACGCTCGTATACATTTAGAAAGTGTAGGTAGAGCAGGTTGTGAATCCAAGGCAGTACTTCGTATAGGACCATTTGCCACGGGACTTTGGGCTTCAACACCCTGCCCTAGCCCTAGCCCTAGCCCTAGCTGCCTTAGCCACTAGCCACGCCTGACGTTGCACATTCTGAGGAGTGGTGGGTGTTTAGGCTGAAGAGTGCCACGCAAGACTTGGGTGGTGACTTTGCGCAACTCAAGACGCTGCAGCCGGTTCTGCTGGGCTCTTCGTGTTCAGGGGCATGCTCAGAAGCTGCGGCCTTCACAGAGACTTGGTGGCTTTTTGACAGTCTGACACGTGGAGCTTCAGTCACTCACCATGACGGACCGGGCTTCTATTGTAGTGGGCCCGTTCTACAATATACACTGTGGTAGTCTAGCTTGTTGTGGGCCCCAGGCCCTAGGCCTAGGCTATAGTCGGCCCTAGGCCCTATGGCCTTGGCGGGATTGATATTTGTTCAACATTTAAGAGCAAACGACCCAGGCATTGGGTATTCCATTTCAGCTATGTGGAGTTGCAGATGTGAACAAGGACTTCCGTCAAATCATTGAAGCCAATTACAAGCCAAGTCATTCTTGGAGCCTGATGCAAGACCAGATCTCCTGCCAAGCATGCCTGAAGCACGCTGACAGCATGGCTTGTGAAATGGCATCATGCTTGGATGTTTGGGTTAGTGGAACCCCTTGCCCACCATTCTCGGAGCAGCGTCCGCGACGGTTCAATGTAGGTTCAGTCGAGGCTCATCCCTTGTATTCTGTGACATTTGAAAGTGCCATAGATGCGGTAAAGCAAGGGCACAAGGCGTACATTTTCGAGCAGGTGAAGGGGTTTGGGAAACCATATGATATGTCCACCTCTGAGACACCTTTGGAGCGGCTTCTTGGCTTCTCAACGACTTATGACTGGGAAAGATGTTGTGGTCCTGCTTGTCACGGCTTAGGAGCAGGATTCTCCTCAATGGCCTGATTTTTTGCCAAATTTCGGGGTCACGAAAATGACTTTTGACTTCGGGGGGGCCAGTCATCACTAGTTATACACTAGTTAGTCACTAGTCACTACTTTCGCTGCAGAATAGGAAAGTATTGCGCCATGGGCAGGACTGTGACTCTAACCTCTAGCTAGCTAGCTCTAACTGATTCTAACAACCCTCTAACCGACTCAAAACAGCCTTTTCATGACCATGCAGTGTGCGCTGTGTGACCATGGCCTACACACCACGCACAGCAGAGTCGGTGCGGGAGTGCCTTCAGGTTCTTGGGAAAGATCGACCACTTGGGCTTGACCGGGGGCATTCAGAATCGCGCGAAGTACTGGCACATCACCACCCGGCCGTCCATGAACACATGGATGAACATCAAAAGGGAGAGGACCTGATTTGCTCACGAAGTCATTCACTAAACTAAGATTCGCTGTACTGTTAGAGAGTATACGCTGCGGTGTCTGTTTTCTTTGTGATCTTGAACTGAGCGCTGAATTTCGCGGGGTCAGTGCCTCTGGGTTTGTTGCAAGTCTTGCGAAGTGCGGATCAAGAGCCTTGAGAGTCTTTGTTTCATGAAGACAGAAGACAGGTCACTTTGGATAGGTTATATTTTAGTTTTATTCTAGACGCAGAATTGACAATACAGTAGCAACTCAACAGATCTTTTTAAGTAGGTGGAGTTTAGAGCCTAGTGGCCCCGCGCCTGAATCATGATTAGCAGACTTTCGGGGACTATGTCTAATGAGCCACAGCAGTACCACAGATCAGGGCCTTCAGGATGCCTTTCCTGGGTGGGCGTTGGAGATATTCTCCGACACTCAAGACCATCCCAAATCCAGTGAACAAGACAGCCTTGGCGAGGCCAAGACAAAAAAACGTGGACATGGTGGTGCTCGGCAGAATTCAGGAAGGAAGAGACAAGGCATTGCCGCCTACAGAAAATTCATGGATGAAGAGATTGCGCTGGCTGATGGTCATGTGACAGAGCCTAAGTCTGCTGATGAGCTGAAGGCCCTGAGGATTGCGCAAGCAGCTCACGCCAGAAAAGAAAAAGCCAAGCTGCAGCTTGCGCGTGCAACCCAGTGTGACCAAGACAGAGCAGTCGTGGCAATTTCAACTCTGGCCAAGCATGCAAATGCTCGTGAGGTAGCCCTTTCCGTGATGACTCCGCTTCAGCAATTGTTGCTTGTGACAGCAGAAACTGTGAGGGAAACGTGCGTTCCAGACACTGGGAGTTCCACAGGCACCTGCTTGCTGACCCAAAGATTGCCAGTTTCCTCGTTGGCAAATGCCGCTTCGAATTTGGGAGTGGCACCATCGACCCTAAAAAGGAATGTTCAGCATGCAGCTTCTTCACTCATCAACTGTGCAAGCTTGGAATTGGCCGCCTTGACTGATTGGCTGCATCGGCTGGAGCAGGATGAATCTTACCGTCTTCTCTTGGTGTTGAAGAAAAGGCAGTATGACGAGACCCCGTCAAAGATTGCTGTAGATATTGCTGATTCTGCTTCCAAGACTACAGGAATGGCAAAGGTGATGCAAACACGCTTCAGCTTGACTTTTTTGTTGCAGCACCGTCAAACTGGAACCTACATGAGATTGCGGACAAACGTCCCTACGTGGCTGCAAGCAGTGGACAGGACCACAGCCGAGTGTATCAAAGCTACCCAAGACGCCATCGAGTCTGTCGTGCCCGATTTGCACCGCTTGGCGTGCCTTCATGAGACCAGTGTCAGCCTAGTGAACACGGACAGGTATGCTGCCAACTACAAAGCAGAAAGAGCAAAAGCAACAGAGCGTCCACAGTGGACGCAAAGCCACTATCCATGCGATGTGCACCGGTGTGCAACAGCTCTAAAGTTTGCATTCAGCAAGGTTGACGGTCATGTAACTGGCATGATTTCTGGGGCCTTGGCCATGACGGAAGCTGGGAGCACCCATGTGCTCAGGGAATGTATGGCCCAGGTTTTGGAAGACCGCCTAGTCGTTCGTTTGGGCGAACCGACTGAGGACAACGTGCGGCATACAATACATGTCTTGAACCTCTTTTTGCCGTTGCCTAAAGCTGAACGCTCCACTGTACAGAGGGCTGGTAAGAAGCACATTCGACGGTGGCAACAACAACGAGCTGTCTTATTGTTTTTTCTGAACGGAGATATTTCCAAACCAAATGTTGTGGAGTTCTACACGTCCAACTGGGATTTAAGTCATGAGACAGTTCTTCGAGCCATGCAACGGTTTTTGGTCCCTGCTTTGATTCCTTGCAAGCCCCCGCTGTTCTCGCGCAAATCTTGGACGGGAGGCGACGGCGTTGCAGCTTACTACGGATTGCTTTGCTCCTTCCATTCGCTTCTTCTCCCAACCATGCAGCTGTTCACTAGGCAGAGTGCTGCGCCCGAGCAGCCTCTTAGCATGGATGCAGCACAGGGTGGGCAAGAGCCACAGCCGCTACAGCTGCCGCAGGAGACCACTGGCTCAACAGAGCAAGATTTGGATGCTGATTTTCCTTCCAATGCAATCACGGCTGAAACCGTTGCAAGTGGGGAGATTGACTGGCAACACTTGAACCGCTGCATGAGAGCACGCCTTTGCAGGTGGGTTAGTCTTGACCCTGGCGAAGCTTTGATTGTCATCCAACTGGCCACTTTGGCCTGCTTCAAACTGCTCTATGCCCTCTTGGATCAGGGAAGCAGAGCATATGAAACTCGACAAAGGGTATCCTGTTTGAAGACTGGCACGCGCAGGTATAGGGTACAAGACGCAGCGCATGGGCTCCTCCTTGATGAGTTTTTCGCTTCGGTTTGGCAAGACTTTCAACTCTCACCAACTGGAGCAGGAGCCTTTGCCAAGTCTAGTTGCTCGTGGGAGATGCAATGTTTACATTTCAGAATGTTGGCATCAGTCGCTTGTTCTGTTGAAGAGTCCATTGGTCGGAGCTGGAGCTCATACCCCGTCAAAATGTTCAAGATGCTGAGTGGTGAGCACAAGGACCTTTTCACAGATCCTCCATGTTTGCTGGAACCTCTCAGCGTGAAGATGAAGGAGTGTGCAGAAAAACTGTCAAAGCCTGACTTTGAAGAGATTTTGGCAGCCATTGCGCATGAATTCACCTTGGACATTTCAGAGATTGAAGCCCGTCACGCAAGCACTAGGAGGATCCTTCATGTGCGGAATGTTCAAGTGTCACTTCCGACGCTGGAAGATGTGGGAGCGGCCTGGGTGCTCAGGGGGAATGTCATAGACCGTGAGGAAAACCTTACAGCGGAAAAGGCCAATCCAGAAGGACAAGACAAAACACAAGGTTCTTCCCGGAAAACCAACTCTGCCAGAAAAGTTGCACCCTGGAATGTCTTTGTCCGGGAATATTTCTCAAGCAAAGCGCTTGTCGGTACAAGGTGGTCCCAAGACCTCTTTCGGGATGTCTCAGACAAATGGAAACAAGTTCCGGATGAACAAAAAGCAAAGATGGAGTCCGAGGCATTTGAAGCGAATCTGCGCAAGAGTCGTGGCTTCCCTGCTTTCGACACCAACAAAGGCAAACTGACGGACAAGGGAAGGGGTCAGATCGTGCCTAGATTTGAGCCAGAGGACTTGCAAGGGCAGCTGCAGCACAGTCTTCGCCAAATTGCTTTGAACAACCTCATGGATTCGCGTAGCAGAAGTGCGAACGAATCCTCAAACATGGCTGAGTTGTCCCGCCACAAGCATTCAGAATCTGAAGTTGGTTTGTACCGCGAGGTTCTAGGCATTGTGCCTGATATGATCCAATGTCTCCATGCTTTTCCTGCCAACCACCCATCAGCGGATCTGCATTTGCCTGCTGATCTACTGGCTCAGGACTGCAGGGTTTGAAACCGAGCGCTGACGGCTGACACCCGTGCTGTTGCAAGACACGGCAATAGCGTACATAGATACTCAAGCGGCCAGGGGGTAGTGGCTGCTACCATTGACAGTGTTTTGTTCCGTTTGGAGTTCTGCCAAGGCAAACTTATGTTCAAAGTTAAAACTCACCTGCAGGTCCTAGACTGTAACAGGGAATGGCCAGCCGACCCAGGGACCAAGGGCTTTGTAACTTTGTATATAGTACTAGCTGACTAGTGAATAGCTGGGTTAGGTGACTAGCTGCCTAGCTGTTAACTAACGGCTGATCGCAAGTTGCTAGTCACCGCCAGTCAACTACTACTACTCGCTTTGGTGCCAGGACGCGCTGAGAATGGATCGCCCGCAAGGGGGCATGAAACAACGGCTGCTAGAGGACTGGGAGAACAGGTCCAAAATGTTCTTGCACAGCACGTTGCCAGTCATCAAAGAGTCAGATTTCCAGCAGTCCCGATGTCAGCAATTGGGTGTGTGTGTTTGCAAGGGCGTTGGTCGGGCTTCGTGGTTGCTGGCAAAAGCCTTAACGCAATTCCTGAAGCCACCTTTCACTCCTCCGAGGAAAAAAAGAAACAGCGAAGAAGCACGGGCAGCTGAGCAAAGCCCAGAGGACAAGAGAAAGAAGTTGAACCGCAAGCTCCTTACATCTGGAATGATCGTTCTCAAGCTGTCGCCGCGCGCAGCAAAAGCAAAAGCAGATGATCGTGCGCTGGAGGACTTGGGTGGTTTTGGTCCAGATTGGGCAGCATTTGCGCTGGCAAGCCTTGCGGCGGATGAGCCTTTGAGTTCACAAGAGAGAAACGCTAGCCTTCAAGAGGTGTGGCTGCACATTGGCCACGTCAACTTGAGTTCCTGGGCAGTGACAATCATGAGGCTGATGCCAGTTGGAGCTGAGAGCGATCAAGGTTTCCAACGGCTTGAAGTTCGAAGCATGTTTGTCAAGCCTGCTGCCATAGCATTTGCAGAGCTGTTTACAGAAGATGCCTTTGCTTGGTCTTGGAACGTAAGCTTTTATGTGATCCACACACAAAACAAGCGACAGCTGCATGGCAATGAGATGCGGCCCAATTGGGTCATGGTCAGGCAGTTCAATGTGAATGGCACAGATGGTGGCCATACATTTGGGTTCTGGAGAGGACTCAAAATTGAGTTGCAGGCAGAAACAGACCGCCAGAAGAGATTGAAACAACAAGCCAAGCGCACTGTCCGCAAAGGAGCCGCGAGGCTTGCAGGGATGAGGGCACGCGTCCTGAAGGACGTTCATCCTAAAGCGCGGGCGAGGCTGAAGGTTCAGAAGCGTGTCCAAAAACGCCGCAGAACAGTACCCTCAGTTGAAGTGATTGACTTTGATTTGAATGTCGAAGAAGACCTAGGTGAGGCCGAGGCTGAGACAGAAGAAATTGAAGACGCCTACCTTTCACGTGCAGGAAAAGAGGTTGAAACAGTTCCTGACAATCCTGCGCAGGAAAACGAAGAATCGATAGCCTCTGATTTGGAAAAGTCTGATCTGGAAGATTCCTTGGCTGAGAGCTTGGCTCATAACCTTGACGTTGGCGCTGGTGGAGGTGAAGCAAGCAATACTGCAGACATCATTTTGCCTCCAGCAGCAACACGTGATGGCAGCAGCAGCAGCAGCAAAGACAAGCAGGACACTGAAGTTGAAGTTGTGAAAGATTCAAAGGCCACGGCTACTACTGATACTTCTGTAGGTGGAACAGCAACAACTAGACGAGCTCCTCATGGGCCCGATCTGGCTGTTTCAGTGACGGACGAAACAGAAATACGCTTCAACGTTCTCACTCAAAGACTGATTGCTGTGTGCAAGAGACCCGGTCACGGAGACTGCAGGAGGTCCCGCACGGTGCAAGAGTCCACCAGAGACTCCTCACGCTACAAGGGACAAGGTAGGCCTGTTGGGTTATTGGTTCACTTCCTTCTAGTTGCTGATCAGTATGAGGATGGGAAAGCGCATCGAGCAATTCTGGAAAAAGAGATTCCTTTTGAGGATCGCATGAACGCCAGAACCTACTTTGAATCTCTGCCAAATTCACGTGCTGTGTTGGGAGAAGAGAGGGGCAAGCGT